GGATCCCCACTGTGCACGGCCGCCGTGAAGTTCTCCTGGAGCGGAGCGGAGCTCGCGCCACTCCGCCACTCTCAGAGCTCCAACCAATTCGGCGGAGGGGGGGTGCCACTTCTTGGACGAGGGGCCACAACAAGAAACCTCTGTCAAGTCGGCTGTTGGAGCGGCCTTTGGAAGTAGCGGTGTTCTCGACCCCCGGGCCCGGAGTGAAGCAGTCTTCTACGTGGGGAACATGGGGCTTCGCGCAGGACCAAGTTCCAACTTCCACGCGCAGGACCTGACATACTCCAAGCCCTGAACTTCCTCCAGCGTACTTCTGTTTTGGATTGTTTGGGATTGTGCCAAAGATGCGAACATTGTGAAAATCCTACGAAGGTGGCTCATGGGATCTGGGCACCACCCCTCTGGCACGAAGCCGTGGCGTGCCCAGCGCAGCCCGTGCACTGGCGGTGGACGGGGAGACGGGCGTTTTGGAAACCGATTCTGTGTTTGGAGGGTGTTTGGAACCTGTCCTTGCCAAATGTCCAAACGTTCTCTAGCATAAGCGACTAAAAATGCTACCATGAAACCAATCAGCGGTGCCCACCTAGTCACAAACCCTCCCGCAGCAGTTCCGAAAAAAAAATCATCTTTGAAGGCTGGATGAAAGCACTTATAGGCACATTGCTGCGCTGCGTGTTGTTCATCAATGTTGGATGCCGTGAACGAATGACCTCGTCCACATTGAGGAGGATCAATACTCAGAACAATCCTACCTCTTCCCTGCATATCCGCTGATCTGATTTTGTGGAAGTCGATGGACGTAGTCTACGTCTACGTAGTGCCCCAAAAACACTGGGTGGAGAGCTCTCAAATGAGGGCCATGCTGGCTGGCCAAAACCTCCATTGACCCATCCAGGAGACCTCTTGCTGCCCCGGCAAAGAACACGTGGCACCTTGGGGCCCACCTCGACAACGACAACAAAAAAAGAAATCATGTTTCGGTGCTCTTCGATACCATCGTTGAATCATGTTTCATATACAGCCAAGTGAAGCGGAAAAAAGAAAAAGCACACACTTATGGATATGCATACTGACTTGACAGCGGTTCCACACGCCAGCCTAAGAAACCCAAATCCTGAAAGGTCCAGGAAAACCCTCCCTAAAGAGCCTGGGGGTCTTCAAAAGGAAGTGAGGCCAAAAACTCAAGTCGAGATCGGACGACAGGATGACGACGGCCGCTCACAACTGCAGAGCGCATGACGGAAAGCTTAAAAGTTGAAAAGCAATGGAAAAAGCAGGTACGTGAGAGTGATCAGCTCTCATATCCCGTGCGTCAGGTAGCTTCGTTGGACATGGTCCCTGAACGCACGCCATGTCCCCCTGCTGTGAAAGTGGAAGCAAAGCCAAAACCAAACAATCCGAAAGGATCCCTGTGATTCCAAGGGTTACACACACACGCCTCCCCGAGGGGAGGCGGAAAGCTAAGGTGAGGGCAAATGTGCACATGTGCGCGCACAAAAGACAAAAGAATGACGACATGACAGGAGGACGAGACGGGACAGAGGTGTGTGTGGTTGAAATGAAAGGGGAACCAAGTGTACAGGGACACCCGATGAAGCCCACCTCATTGTAAAGACCTGGGCGACCTGAAACCTGTGTTTGAAGGTAGGTGGAAGTGCACGTACACACTAAGGCCGGGACCAATGTGCGCGCAAACGAAGAAAAGGATGAGATGACCAGACATGAAGCCAGGAGGACATGAAAGAAAAGAGGAAACAAAAGTGTGTGAAGGGGAAGGGATGAAAGGGGAACCAAATGGAGGGGACGAGAACCGATGAGACCAAGCCTCATTAGAAACACCTAGGAAGACCTCGCCTCGTTTCAATGTATACGCTGTGGGTGCACCCAAGGTCGCGACAGGTTCCAATGAACCTAAAATTGGCTTTGACCGCTATGGTCACCTTGTGCCTTGCCGAAATGGCTGGCTGCTTTGACCGCTGCGGTCACGTAAAGGCATGAGCCAACTTGGAATTGCAAAGATGAGACAAAAATCATCGTACGTTCGGCCTAGGCCACCTGCTGTCCGCTGTGGACATCTGCGTTCCCAGAGCCGGGGGAACATGGACAAACCCCCGTTCAACGGGTCCACGGGAGGCACTCTGCGGGCTCATCCCGGACTCTCACTGGGAGAGACACACTTATGGATATGCATACTGACTTGACAGCGGTGCCACACGCCAGCCTAAGAAACCCAAATCCTGAAAGGTCCAGGAAAACCCTCCCTAAAGAGCCTGGGGGTCTTCAAAAGGAAGTGAGGCCAAAAACTCAAGTCGAGATCGGACGACAGGATGACGACGGTCGCTCACCACTGCAGAGCGCATGACAGAAAGCTTAAAAGTTGAAAAGCAATGGAAAAAGCAGGTACGTGAGAGTGATCAGCTCTCATATCCCGTGCGTCAGGTAGCTTCGTTGGACATGGTCCCTGAACGCACGCCATGTCCCCCTGCTGTGAAAGTGGAAGCAAAACCAAAACCAAACAATCCGAAAGGATCCCTCTGATTCCAAGGGTTACACACGCACACACACACACACACCTTGTCTGTATTCAAACGACTTTCTTCGGTCTCCTGCCATGCAGCGGCTTTGGCTTCCTCCTCATCCCAGTCATCTGGGAATTGATCCTCCGCCTCTTCCTCGAGCCCTGCGGGGAGGTGATCTAGCGTCAAAACATCTGCTGCCTACACGGCCTGGCACCAAACACTGCCTTGTTCTTCGCTACAAATGAAGTACAGTACTTAGGGATCTGAGAGAGCCTGTAGAACTCTGCGCCTTACTTTTGGGATCCATGTGATAAAAGACTTGGTAACTTTGGCGTCATCATTGGTATGACCGGGTGTGGCAACCGAGCACGACGTTGGCAACCCATGACGGGACCCCGACGTTGAGCACCTCACACGTTCGCTTCCAACCCAGCGCGAAAACCGCCATCTGATCGGCCAATGTCCCGTCCAAGATTTATCGCCACGACGCCCAAGAGGTTAATACGTGTTCATCAGGTGGTAAGGGCCCGAATTGATTTCAACATCTATCTGCAGCATCTGCACTCACTCTTCCACCCTGCACATCATCTCGATTGATTTGGGGGATAGGCTATTACGAACACTCAAGTCACAACGTGCACAATGGATCTTGCCCCATGACAAAAACAGATTCGCTGTCACCCATGGATTCGCCGGGACTCCTACGTCATCCTCATCTCCATCCTCCATCTCCAAGGGGTCTTCGTCCCCCAGCGCGGAGGAAGAAGGCGCTCCAAACAGGAAAAAGCACCCCAACAGCAGGGCCGGGTGCCAAAGTCGTCCAAAGACTTGTCTCTGTGTTTTCCCGCTTGAAGCCGAGCGTGAACGGTCGGAGAATTGGGTCTTCGGGGGCTAGATCTGAAAGCATGCAAGGAGAGTGAAACAAGGGGGCAGGTCTGTGGATCTGCATGGGTTTTGACCTTTTGAAGAAGTACCGAAGTATGTGGCGTTGCTCGGGGTGCAGGGGTGCTGGGGTGTGGATGCTGAAAAGGGTTCTCAAGCATGTCCATCCTCTGGCACGGAAAAATCCAGAGCCTTTTGAGCCCCACACAACCGAGGCGATGCGGGGTTCTCCCGAGCGACACACTGAAAAAAACCTGAACGTCACGGCGTCCACATGCTTTCAAAAAAGAACCCAATTAGAGGATATAAACAGGGCCAGGTGGTTGAAGAACAACTAGGGGCCAAGTGGGGCGCAGAAACAGTCATACCAATGCAATTCTGAACTTTGTGCTGATTTGGGTGCTGATGCCACTCGGCCATTTACATTCGGTCTTGGCCAGTTGCTGAACTGATTTGCGGCTCCTTGCGCAGCTTAGCTATTTGCATCAAGTTGCAATGATGTTCCTCATCTTTGCACCAGTCCTTGGATTCAGCCTACTTTTAACTACTGGCGAGCCCAACAAAGACTGCCTGCTACGCGCACACAGAAGAGAATCCATGCGGGGCCCCCAAACCAAGAAAAAGAACCCTGGAATCCTTGGAACCTTCCTCCAGCCAGCCACGGGTCCTGTTCAAACGACCTGGGGATCTCCAGCCACGACATACACCCATTTGGGTGGTTCAGATCATTGTCAAATCTTTATCGCTGGTTTCCCCAAAAAAAAATCTGAAGGGTGATTTTCAGTCACAGTTCCAAATCACCATTTCGGATCTTATTCAGTTTCTTAATAAAACCGCTTCAGAATGTTTCAGATCCAATTCGGTTCACTTACGGGTTTCAGCAGGGTGCCCGGCCGAGTTCGCGCCGGTAAACCACCGTTCTCCTGCGGCCGACAGCGGCCTCGCCCCTTTTGGGCCGAACCGTGCGCGAAGTCGCGAAGTCGCGGCGCCTGCGCCTGCGCGACTGAGGGATCCACGGGAGTCGGGCTGAGTCGCTGCCCAGCAGAATCAGATGGATGGAGGGTGACTTGCGATGGCCGGAGTGGCTGGCATCTCCATATCCGCCATCGTACTGAGGTAGAATCTTGTAACAATAAAGATTCCAGCTCAGGCCAGTTGCCTATTATTCAAGCTCTGCTAGAATCTTGCAGGTCTATGTGCCCCCCTCCCAAGAATCGCATGTGTTGATATGTCTTGCGTGTTCCGTTCTCCGATGTTTCCCACTACCAGGAACTTCTACCAGCCCTTCGACAGTTGAAGTCTCGAATCACCAACCAGCCCAAGTCGAACGAGTCGAGTCGCACGAGTCGCAGTTCGCTCCGTGGTGACACGGCCTATACGTATACAGGACCTTACCCGGCAAAGGGATGAAGCGGAAGAACATGGAAGAACATGGAAGAAGCAAATGAACGGAATGGAAGAAACACTTAACGGAATGAGGTAGACTCTTGATCAATAAACCCCCCCCATGTGAAGAGGCTGTTCAATCCAAATGGAGAGGCTTATTAAATCAACGTACAGTCTACATTAAAGTGCGATGTGTGCCACCTACGATCTCCTCCTGGTTCCTCAAAAAACTCACAGTGCGAGGCCGGCCGTCATCATCCGTCACATACGCGATCAAAACTCACATTGTGGGCTGCAATGTTTTGTTGCTTCGACCTCGAAGTAGGTCTGTCATGCAACGAAAACGAGGCTGATCTGGCTGGCACTTGACAAAACTGCCCCACTCACACAAATCATATATACTATAAACATCTATAAACTACAAACCACAATTCCCAAGGAAAGCATCGTGAAAAAAAAATGCCAAACATTTAAGCAAACCTTCCAAGCACCAGCCAGTTCCATCATCGTGGACAGCCTGGATTAAGTCAAAATATGTACTGGCATGGCATGCGCCTCGGCTTGTTACCTATGCTACACCGCCTGGAAGATGCCAGCACATCGACGAGTCGAATCTGTAAAAGGACTCCATCCTTCCAAACTGCGAATGTCTCATCGATCTTCGTTTTGTCTTCCAAAACCAAGACCGAAGCCGATCAGCAGACGGCATCGGACTCACTAAAATCGCTGGACTCTGACACTTGAGCTTGCGGGTACTTCTTCACGGGGCTGTGGTAAGATTCGCCTGCGCCAAAGAAACGTCTCACAAGAACCCACACCCTTGGAAAACGGACTATTGACAGGGTAGGTGAAAGACCAGTTACTTGTTGTTTGAACCGGAGAGGTTCTTCCTTGAAAGGGAGATGTTCTTTAGTGAGGACGTGGGTCACGTGTCATTCATTGGTCACGTGTCTCTGGGGCGATGGACTATATAGTTAGTATCCATTGAGAGTTTGAGAGCGTCGCTTCATCATGGTTCTCATTATGCAAGGCTATAGCTCTGAGCTTTGGGGCCCTTCCTTTGCCATCTCCCGTGTGCCCCCAATCCCACGGACACAACACCGAAAACATGTCCCGCGTGGCGGGCGGGGCCGCGCCGTGCGTGTGCTGATCGATGCCACTGCGCTCGTGTTCCTCAGGGATCCTCAACTTCATCACCAACCCCAGCACCACCACGATGAGCGCCGTGCCGAGGGCGGAGAAGGCCACACCAGCCGCGGCACCAGCAATCTGCTTCCCCAAGAGTTCCTCATCAGCAGATCGTCATCAACCCGGATGACCGGGAAGGAACAACTTTGTGTATGACAAGACGTCAAATGTCACAAGTCATGTGTGGACCTTTGAATGACCAGGCTGCTGGACCTTGGCCTCCCTGGTCCCTGGTTGAACCAGATTTGGAGAGGAACAATTCGACAAACATCACACCTTCGGCACACCTGCAGCCAAGCCGCAAAGCTCCCCGTGTAGATCAGCCCGCCGTCCAATGCGAAGATGCCAGTGAAAATGGCCCCACCGATGCCACCCATGCCATGCAAGCCGAAGGCGTCCAAGGTGTCATCCACCAAGTTGAGCTGAGGGAAGGATGTTGTCGTGCACTCGGGGACCCGAGGAGTTTGGCGACCTAACCTCCTGGTTTGGGCACTTTGCATAGGTCTGGTAGCTCCCTCGACTCCTTCAAAACCCTGTCCAAATCCCATCCATCGTGCCCAATCGTCATCCTTCACCGCTCACGAAGATGGACCCTTGATCACACTCTAGACAAAAAGCCGCGCTTCCATGGGCATGCGAACATGAGCAAAGCATCTGTCCGCGTGCACGCCACGGTGGGGGGGTGGGGACCAAAAACCAGCACATCCAAATTTGCTTGGGGAGAGGTCTCACTCCGGGCTACCCTTGGATCAACTTGATTTGTCACTGCAAAATGAGGCCAACAATCCCCATCACAGGACTAAGCACCGGGGTTAGGACTAAGCCTAAGCACCAGACGTTGTTTCAACTTATTTCATCTACCGCCCTCACAACCCACAGCTCGCGGTGTTTGGATCTCGCCTTGTTCACCAGCTCGACCTGAGAGCAAATCACTCACCTTTCGGTCATCGGAACAACTAAATATATAATATGTTTTATATAATTGCCTCCTTGTGGTCCTTGCGGGTGTGTATTGAAATAGGTAATAGGAGATGGAGATGCCCCTGCTCACCCTAGGAAGAGAAAAGAATCAACCACACGGACATGGAAACTCAAACAAATATGGGTGGTTTGCAAACATGCTTAAGAATGCCTACCCTCACAAACCTGTCTCAAGTCCAACGTATATCTAAAGCCAACTCCCCCCCAAAAAAAGGCTTTTGCTAAAAGCAACAAAATTATTGAAGCAGATCCGTGCCCACCGACATGTAGCACCATACAGCTCCCAGCGCACCAATGGCAATGCTCCATCCGGGGGTCACAAAGCCAGCACCAGGGGTGATGCACACGAGCCCGGCCACTGCGCCAACAGAAGCACCCACGCTGCTGGACTTGCCCTTCCTAGCGGAGACCAATTGGAGGTGTGATTGCGGGGTGATGATGGATCTTCAGAGGATCTATTAATACGGCATACTTGAAAACAAAACAATCAAAAGATTGGTGAGGTGATACCTGCGAACCCAGGTCAAGCAAAAACGGAGCACCTGAAAAATCAGCTGAGAATGGGCATCCATTCAATTCATATCGATCTAAGTGAAGACCCAGTGGCATGGGATCAAGATGGATCAAGCCTCACCTGGGTTACCACTGGTGACCTATGTTTCACATCCCAAGTCCTTCTTTTGGGGATCAGGTTCTGAGGGTCTCAGGGGGGGCAACAAGTGCCCAGTCCATGACTTCAGTATACTTCGGGACAACAAGTTGCGGGACTGGCGCGATCACTCCTGGGGCGGATCTAGAAATGATCCAAAACATATCCAAAACATCGCTTTTCTTCTCACCTGATTCTTCTCAGCGTGCCCAGGACGGCCCTAGAGATGGTATCCACGCTTCGGTCTCGTCTCGATCGCGCGGCCAGAACTCCAACGATCGCCTTTTCAAAAAAAAAACTGAAACCTCTGGGCAGTGGCAGGGCCAAATCCGAACGTAACGAATTCCGTCGGAACTCGGCGGGTGTCGTCTGAAGAGCTGTTGGGTGATGCATTTTCTGATCTTCGAGGCCCTTGCGCTTTGTGAGTCACTTGCGAACAGCCCTCCAACATGAACTAATCCCACACCCTGCAAGATCAACCCTGGTAGGGCCCCCCCCCTGCTAGTTAATTCTCTAACGATTGTATACAGAAATGCCACGAGGTTCTGTGGGTCTGGGGGGCCTAACTTACTTGGAGAAACGGATTAACAGGATGATCCTTCATGGTCATCTGGCAGAATGGGAGTAAATGGAACAGTCGCTCCAATATGGAATTTGGGCCCCTGAATGCCTCCCACCCACAGTATAAAACCAGAAAATAGCACCTCGGAAGACTAGCCCTCAAATTGGCCATCCACTTGGACACCCTTGTTTTTCTTCTTCGCCGCAGAAGTTGCCACCCTTTGAGAAGAAGCCACCTCGTCTATCACCCCACCCCGCCAGCCAAGCTTCAGCAAACGCTCCAAGACCAACCACGTCAGCATCGAGGCCGCGGCCGCCACAAAGGTGGTCGCCACCGCGCGGGCCGCGACGCCATCGGAGACGCTCAGGGCAGA